CTTTTTTTTGTTTTTGGAGTCCACTGTGACGCCCAAGCTGCAGTGCAATGGTGGCAAATCCGGCTCCCTGCCAAGGCTCTGCTCCCGGGTTCCACGCCATTCTTCTGCCTCAGCCTCCCAAGTAGCGGGGACCTAACAGTGCCCACCATCGAGTGCCTGCTAATTTTTGTATTATTATAGAGAACAGGAATTTCAACTGTGTTTACCATTGCCACTGGCTGAATTTTTGTGATTTTAGGTAGGAGATGAGTTCACCGTGTTGGCCCCAGGCTGGCTCGAATTGTGCCTGACCTCAGGTGATCCGCCCTCCTTGGCCTCCCACAGTGCTGGGATTACAGGCGTGAGCCACTGCACCCAGCCCACCCATTTATGTTTAGCTCATTTTCTCTCCATCATCTGATCCACTCAACACCCCCACTCTCACTGCCTTTGCTGGAGCCCTAAATCACCACCCTAGCCTTCCATCCTCTCTCTGCATCTGCCCCACCACTGCCAGGGTGCTGTTGGCTCTCTTCTTGTCTCCCCCTCTATAACCCATACCCATCCTGTACAGCTCAGCCACGGCACCTGCTCCAGCCCTGGTTTCCTCACAGCTCCCTGGTTTTAGGGCTAACAGGATTCGCTGCATGTGTTTACTTGCTCTCCCCACAGGAGGCAAACACAGCATAAAGGCAAGCCCTGGGGGTACGGGCGGGGGTTTCAGGGGAGCTTTGTTTCCATTGTCTGCAGTGTCCAGCACAGTGTCAAGTTCAATATATGGCACTAGACTGAATGAGCAGAGGGTGGCTTGCAAAAGGAGGCTTAAAAATAAGGGTGGGTGAGAGCTGGAGAAGCAGGCAGGGGCTGGATTATATAGGGCCTCACAAGCCAACTTAAGCAGCTTGGCATTCATCCTCAGGGCAATGGGAGCCAGGGCTGGAGACCTGGGAGAGTGGCCTGGTAAGATGTATAGCGATGGGGCAGGAGCTAATGTGGAGGCCTTCACAATGGTCGCAGTGAGAGAGAAGTGAACCTGAACTGGGACAGTGGCAGGTGGAGTGGACAGGAAAACAGAGAAGTGGTTCTCAACTGGGGGCAATTTTATCCCCGCCCTGAAACATTTAGCATCACCTGGAGACAGTGATGTCACAACTTGGGGAGTGCTACTGGCATCGAGTGGGTAGAGGCCAGAGACGCTGCTAAATGTCCTATAATGCACGGGACAGCCCCCATGACAAGGAATGATCTGGCCTGAAGTGTCAGCAGTGCTGAGAGTGAGAAACCCTGCCCTAGAGGAAAACCCAGAGAATCGCCTCCTGGGTGGAGGGAAATGGAGCACATCTCAGCCTGAACTCTCAGAGCCACGCTGAGGCCTGGTTCTTCTGTATTTTAGCCATGTAACAACCCTGAGCCACAACCATATTACAAGTAACTCAACCTCTTTGCACATCGTTCCTCCTTTTTTTTTTTTTTTTTTAGATGGAGTTTCGTTCTTGGTCACCCAGGCTGGAGGCAATGTGTGACCTTGCTCACGCAACCTCCGCCTCCCAGGTTCAAAGTGATTCTCCTGCCTCAGCCATCTCAGTAAGCTGGGATTACAGCATCCTGCCACATCGAGCTAGTTTTTGTTTGT